CTTTATAGTCCAGTGAGTCCATTGTGTCTTTACTTGTTTCCTTTTTCTTATCATTACTCTGAAGTCTAAACCTATTTTCTCAACATGTCCCAGTCAATTGCAATCTTTTAAGCAACATCAACCTTCACTCTTTTTTTATTTCGAAATACTGGGATTTATCTCACCAATCACCATATGCATTAGAAAGGAGTAAATGACATATTCCCACACGAGGTTTGGCAAAATTCTAAGTTGGTACCCTTGGTTGCATTTATTCCAAATTCCTACCCTTAAAGTGATGGAAATTATTTTAATATAGCAATAAAAGGGTAAATTGGTGATTTGCAGGAGGTGGCGCACTTTAGCAGATCGTCGCTTCTAACAGTACTCTGGCGCACGTTGTGGCAGCCCCGGATTCGGCACACAGCCCCGGCGACCCCACTCATCTGAAACTGTCCCCCCCCTTAAGGGATTTCTTTCGCCTCCCACACCACTCGAAACCGGGACCAAGGGGCTATAGTCCAACCGGGAGCATGGTGTGTACCATCAGGCTAGCTGGCCTGATGGTACACACCATGCTCCCGGTTGGACTATAGCCCCTTGGTCCCGGTTTCGAGTGGTGTGGGAGGCGAAAGAAATCCCTTAAGGGGGGGAAAGTGTCAGTGAGTGGGGTCGCCGGGGCTGTGTGCCGAATGGGCTGCCACAATAAAAAGGCGCTTTTTATTGTGGCAGCCCCGGATTCGGCAACAGCCCGGCGACCACATCATGAAACTGTCCCCCCCCCTTAAGGGATTCTTTCGCCTCCCGTGGTTCGATCCCATTCCCCAAGGGGCTATAGGTGAATGAGCAATACACGAGTACCATCAGGCTAGATGGCATGTGTCACACACATGCTCCCGGTTGGACTTTAGCCCCTTGGTCCGGTTTCGAGTGGTGTGGGAGGCGAAAGAAATCCCTTAAGGGGGGGGACAGGCCTAGTGAGTGGGGTCCGGGGCTGTGTGCCGAATCCGGGGCTGCCACAATAAAAGGCGCCTTTTTATTGTGGCAGCCCCGGATTCGGCACACAGCCCGGCGACCCACTCACTAGGAACTGTCCCCCCTTAAGGGTTTCTCGCCTCCCACACCACTCGAAACCGGGACCAAGGGGCTATAGTCCAACCGGGAGCAGGTGTGTACCATCAGGCCAGCTGGCCTGATGGTACACACCATGCTCCCGGTTGACTATAGCCCCTTGGTCCCGGTTTGAGTGGTGTGGGAGGGAAAGAAATCCTTAAGGGGGGGGACAGTTCCTAGGAGTGGGGTCGCGGGGCTGTGTGCCGAATCCGGGGCCGATGGTACACACCATGCTCCGGTTGGACTATAGCCCCTTGGTCCGGTTTCGAGTGGTGTGGGAGGCGAAAGAAATCCCTTAAGGGGGGGGACAGTTTCAGATGAGTGGGTCGCGGGGCTGTGTGCCGAATCCGGGGCTGCCACAATAAAAAGGCGCCTTTTATTGTGGCAGCCCGGATTCGGACACAGCCCGGGACCCCATCATGAAACTGTCCCCCCCCTTAAGGGATTTCTTCGCCTCCCCGTGGTTCGATCCCATTCCCCAAGGGGTATAGGTGAATGAGCAATCCCACGAGTACCATCAGGCAGCTGGCCTGATGGTACCGTGGGATTGCATTCACCTATAGCCCCTTGGGGAATGGGATCGAAACACGGGGGAGGCGAAAGAAATCCCTTAGGGGGGGGACAGTTTCAGATGAGTGGGGTCGCCGGGGTGTGGCCGAATCCGGGCGCCACACACGTTAGCAGACGTCACCTCGACATTTTTCTCCCTTTTTCGGCGATTCTTCCACCCAAAATCACCCTTATTCCACCATTTGAACCCCCACCCTCCCCTCTACAAAATCTTACCCTTCACAGTCCCTCATCATCAACAACTGTCAACCATGACAACCGCATCGTGCGACTATTTTTTGCCAGTTTTGGCCTTTTGAGTGGTGGAAACCCCAACCACCACCACCGTTTGACTCCTCGCATCCCCCCTTACAAAACCCCTAACTTTCCTGGCCACAACAGCTCACCGTTTGCCGGCCAAGACAGCTCCAAAAATGCGATGAACACAAACCTTTTAGCTGACAAACGGCGCTAAATGGTTACTGGGGACATAGAGGTTTGTAGAGTTGGAGACGCTAGTTGCAATGGTGGTGTCCAATTAGATTTTTACTGCCAGAATCTGGCGAAGAATAGCGAAACCCTAAACCTAATGGCGTCAGCAATCGGAGGGGCCAATGAATCAGGAACCAGGGGTTTGGACGATGGAGTATGGGGAGGTGATGGAGGTGGCAGGGGGTTCAACATCGTCGAAAAACCCAGATCGGGCAAAAACCGAGAGGGTGCACAATCATTGAGGGTGTTATTTAAGTAATTTGAAAACAAGATGGTTAATGTTATAATTCTACTAATCGGTTAATAAGTAATTTCTATTTATTTGTTAAGGCTATTATGGTAATAACACCCTTGTGAACCTAAAAATTGTTAACAGTATTACTTTAAGGGTGGGAATCTGGAATAAATACAATTAGGGGTACCAACTGAAAATTTTGCCAAACTTCGAGTGGGGATATGTCGTTTACTCCATTAGAAAGTACTTGCTCCTGGCTAACAAATATTTTGTTTGTGGCATTGATTGCTTGCTTATTTTGCATGTGTGCCCACTGATGGCATTTCTTTTGGAATTGTTAATCCGAATTGATTTAATTGTTTAATGGTGAGAGTTGATTAGTATAGTTTGAATGTTGTATATATTTGACAGCAGTGATTTAATTTAAATTTATAATGAAAATGATGACAAAAGGATTATTTAATATCTGCAGTGATGTTGAAATAACAATCAATACACCAGCTTTAATTTATGGGTATTAAAATACCATATGACAAAAAACAGCTAAAAAACTTGAAACATGGCATCCCATGTAATAGGGGAACTAGAGAGAAAAAATGTAAAATTAATCTGTTGGGTTAACACACTTGGACAGAGTATGTTTTTATTTTATACAAATGTATAATAATATCTTTACATACTGAAGTTATTGTTGCCTGTTGAGTATACATCTAAAGTTTCTTTTCCTTGTGTGAGCATGGTTTTTATGTGGGTTCAGATTTTCAGTCCGAGAAGAACTATTTGACAAAGCTTTCAAGTTATGAAATTAAAAAAGAATTGGAGACTATACAGAAACACTTGCAACAAATGATTTTGTTATTAATTATTATGTGGCCACCTTTTTAATTTTGTTATTTAATGTGTATGAGATGCATGATATTGGATTGTTATTGAATGACGTCGTGGAGTTTTAAATTTTCAGGTTTATAATTTTTGTTGCATTGTTGATGTCAGCAGATAACATTACGATCCAACTGATTGGACCCCCCCCCCTCCCCCCCCCCCATAGTCGACTCGGGACTTGGTCAACTGACCGGGTCACCCCTTGGGTTGGGTTTTAAAACAGTGATTGAGACTGAGCAAAACTACAATTATATCAAATCATATTCTAATTACAAAATAATATAATTTAGTATTACCAAATATTACTTCCAATCTTTGCTTGAGCTTTTCTTTTATAGGTTTGTTAGGGTTCATTGTGACAATAAAAATGCATGCAGCACATGGCTTCCATGCAACTGTCATTAATCAAAGACCTGATACATGAACTTCTAGCCCAAGGCTCTGCTTTCGTGCAGCTGTGTCATTAATCGAAGACCTAGTACATGAACTTATAGCCCAAGGCTTACACTCCATTTATAGTCTCAGAACTTTACTCTCGAATGACCTATCTGATTTCATGGGACCCTTATCTATGGCCTTTTACCTTGTTGTTATCATTGTTTTAAAACCCGGACTGGACCGCCTGGTCTAACTAGGACTCGATGGCCTCTTCAGTCTGGTTTAGGTTCTAGGAGGATTTCTACTATATTTCAAATTTATAGGGACTAATTTGTACTTTTTAGTAGGGGTATTCAAAAGAACTGATTGGAACTAGAACCGGCGAGTATCTGGGGTTTGGTTCCGATTCCTATCCGGAACCGACCGTCAACGGGTAGGTTCCGGTTCCAAATTTTTGGAACCGTCACTGTGCAGTTTTGGTTCTAGTTCCCACAGTCAGGAACCAGAACCGAAACCGGAACTAGGACCAGGACGAGACTAATATGAAATAAAATTAAAGAGTGGGGGGTTTCGTAAAAACTTTTTTAGAAAAAGTAATGTGAATACATTTATATTTATATTTCATAACATTTAAAGTAAGTTGGCTTGGCTTTTGAGAATCTACCTTCACAAAGTAATGGAGTTTGTAATTTTATTTTTGTTAACAAGTGCCAGGTGAGGGAGTATTTGTAAGTTTTTAAGGGTTTTTTTGCCATTTTAAAAACTTTTAGAGGGTAATTGTAATTTTACAAGGTACCCAGAACCGAAACTAGAACCATTGTTACAAGTTCTAGTTCTGGGTACCCAAGAACTGGAACCGTCGGTTCTGGTTCCAATTCTGATTCCAAATTTCAAGAAATCGTTAGTTCCGGTTCCAGTTCCGGTTCTTTCAAAAAATGCAAGATACCTAAAACCGAACACCCCTACTTTTTAGAGATGTTTTTGCAATATTTCAAAACTTTAGAGACAATCTTTTAATTTATTTACGCATTTTTTAAATAAATAAAATTTTTAAGGACTAACTTGTAATTTTTAAGGGTATTTTTGCAATATTCAAAACTTTAGCGAAAATCTTGTAACTTAATTAGATATTTTTTAAATAAATTAAAATTTTAGGGGTATTTATAATAACCTAAAATTTAAGGGACGGTATTATAATTTTTTTTAAATATTTTTGCTACTGACATCACCAATCCAATCGGTTGGATCGATCAACCTATGACCCAATCACCTACAAGTCTGGTTTTAAAACAATGGTTGCCATATTACCCCTCTACAATCATTAAAAACAGGTTACAACACCATCCAATAATATGATCTTGACAATAAAACATAAGATTTCATCCAAGTACAATTAATTTGCATTATTCAAATAACTAATACAAATTGAGGGAACAATATTATTTGTAACCATTATAAAAATTAATGAAAAGAACAAATGGAAAATTTTCTTATTTAAAGAGCACAAGAATAACACATTTTATTTCATAAAAACAAAGGAAGGGGATTGATGTAAGTTACACATTTAGGCATTACGTGTCAAATCTCCCTAGCATTCAGCAAGCAAAATAAATAGTTCCTCGTCAGTAATTGCTCCCATCTCCATTGCCCTTTCCAGTGCACTTAGTCCCCCACCATCTTTTATTGATGGACGAGCACCTCTGGATAGTACACAAATCAGAATATTAGGTTTAAAATCTACCAGCGAAATGCAACTGTATTGATTATATGCAAATTAATTGTTCAATTTAGGAAATAGGAATTATTATAAGCTATTTACCTTCTAAGAAGGAGCTTTGCAAATGGATTATTCCCTGTGGAGATACAATGGTGCAAAGCAGTTCTTCCATGGAAATCGCGCAAATTTATGTTGGCACCAAATTGTATCAGAAGTTCAAGCATCACAGGATTGCCAAAATGACATGCCAGATGCAATAATGAACAACCTTGAAGACAAATCCCTGGATCATTGGCATCGGTGATTCTTTGACAAACTGCAGGATCATAATTTTTCCTTTTCGCTTTCTGGCCATCAAATTCTGATTCTTCTGCATCATCGACATGGTGATATAAATCTACACCAACCACATCATCATAGGTGGTATTGATGATATCCACCTCCGATGTCACAATAAGGTGATATACTTCTTGCAAATTTTGAGCCTTAACTGCTTCCCAGATGCTTGTGGCTTGAGATTGATTTTGAGACGCAGTTTTATCTTTGATGACTAGCAATTTCTCTACATACTGGTTAAGAAAAGTAAGCTTTAAATTTAACATCACAGCCTCTCAGAAGATGCAGTTGGTAAAGACTATTTTAAAACTGCACAAGGATTAAAAATGAACAATGCATATAATAATAGTATGTAGACTTGTATATCAACAGGGGATCACAATGCATCTTGAAGGCAAACCGGCATAAGTAATATTTTTATAGGAACAGACAGAAGTAATATTATGAGAGTAATTTCTTCCCAAATAACATGAATGAAAAATAATCTAACATGTCAACCTACAGCTTGATTTATAAAATTAAATACATGACAAAAGTAATATGCTCGAACAAATAGCCATTGAAGATACAAAGGGTATACAATTTTGAAAGGAGATAATTGCTTCTATAATCACATCGCTCATCTTTGTACACTTTGGCCCACTATCAATGTATATATTCATTCTCATATCCCATACCTTCACTTTATCTAAATTGGAATCAAAACTTTAATTTTGAAAGGAATTTGCACCAGTGCGATACATAAGATTACTTATAGCTAATGGAGTTCACGGAGAATTTGAGATTTTGATGGGATAAGGGAATATAGAAAAATAAAGAGGACGAAGGCTTCAACCAACTATTCTTGCAAGTTTATTTTTGACAGGATAGATAATTTCCCTGTTGGATACTTCCAATTTTTTTAAAGATGATATAGAAGGATAAGTTCCTCCAAAAATCTATCTTTATAGGGGCCCATAAATGCCCCAGAAGTGAATCAAGAAAGTACATAGTTATACGTCTTTTATCCTTCTTGGTATATGATGTGTAGAAAAGTTGAAGAAACCTCTAATCATTTTTTATTTTATTATAATGAGAGAGAGAGAAGAGCAAGGGCTAATAACCATTATACACACATCTAAATAAAATACTCCTATTTCTGTCCTTTAGAAGCCTTTGGAATTAGTATGGTGTTTCAAGAGCCATAGATTCTATTGCCATTTTCAGCAGACAATGTTGCAACTGTTGTGTCAGAATCATTTTGTTACAGAACTTATTACTCTGTGGCACACCTAATCCACAAAAATAACTGGACAAGAGACAATATTAAAAAAATAAAAAAAGTATGCAATTGTTAAACATGGTTCCTATAGGAGGTCCAGTGTTAATCTGAACACATATCTGAATGCATCAACACTTGTTTGAGAATGAATACATTTGAATCAACGAAGAGACTAATCTGTTTGGAGTGCTCCAGATTTCATTTCTGCCATATAACCAAAACGAGGCTAAAAGCATCAATTCCCATAGAACCGTTTTATCCCATCTAAATAGTCAAATGTCCTCTATTGACCAACCTTTTTGTTTCTCACGAAGATCAGTTTGGGGTTATTATTTAACAAACCAACCAAAGCTTGGACTTATCGAGCTCAGAGATTTGTAAACCAGCAGGTCATTTATTTTCAAAAATATCAGTTGAATATGGATGTAGATACACAGATTTAATATTTCATGTGTCCAATTTCTAAGTACACGAAAGTGCTAAAGGGCCATGATAGTGTAATGTGAAGTAGATTCTATAAAAGATGATTACCAAAAAACATCCAAATCATAGCCAAAAACAAATGCTAAATCTAATCAATAAGAAACTCGTCTTTTTCATGAGTTATATGAATTTCACCACTAATGGCAAGAGTAATGTGTGTTTACATACACAATGCAAAAAATGGATCAAATTGAGTACCTTTGCATAAATGTACTGCTCCTTGTAGCCAATAATGTCTTTAGGAGACGGTTTCCTAATTGATGTGATACTAGCATTTGATTTGTCCTTTCTGCACAGGGTTATATTCAACAGAAATTATAGAATTTATAGCTACTGAACATAACAGTTAGGAAAAGTTAAAGAAAGCTTAATCAGAAAATAAATCATAATTCAACAACTTCAAGCCTTTTATTTTCTCAACAAAGTTTCACTCTCTTTAATAACTTGAAAACAAGTTAAAAAATTTATTTATGTCTAACGAAGAGCAGCAAAATTTAGAGTCACAAAGTACAAATAAGAATTTGGTACATTTTGTTAACTCTTTGAATTATATTTAAAATGGTTGAACTATTGTAACTACAATTTTTGAATTAAAATCTTGACATAAATTCATGACCATTCATCAAAAACAATCTAATGTCTAAAAAGTTGTTGAATTGGCATAAAAAACTACCTCTTGAGTACTTTCACTAAATTGAGGAATCATAATAGATGGATGGTAATCAATTCAAGTCAAGATTTTTATTAAAAAAATTCTCATGTTATTTTACATAAAATCCAGTAAACGAACTAGAGGTCCAATCCAATGGGACAACCTAAATAATTCCACTAAGAGAACCCAAAACTGTAAAGGTCATGTATGCAAAAAGTCTAACCCAGAACATTATAAGACCCCTTCCTAGTTTTGGTTCATGAACATATGGTTCTTTTTTCCTTAGAAGCTTTAAATGATGAAAAAGGTGAATTCTGTCCAACAGATTATTAACGTCTCAATCCCTTTTTCTTTTAAAAGCATGGATCCTAAATTATCCTGAACAAAGCCATAACTCATTAGATAAGATTCTGACTATTTAGGTGACTACTTGCTGTAAACTTATCTCCATCTTAGATGTTAAAGAATAGGATCACAGATCATGCCACGTCAGTAGGAAACTGAAAATGGCTGAAAACCACATTGGTGTTTTGGTTCATTCCTAATAGGGCCTAAATCTGTAACTCCACATGATCATAGCTTTCTTTGGCAACAGAATATATAATTTCCTTCTCCATTTGCAGGCATTAGCTCTTCGTGCAATCAAATGTGTAGAGAAATTAACAGTTTTCAGAATGTTAAGCTAATATTGGGCTTAGTTGAGATTATTTGACATGGTGGGAGTCTCACAAAATCCACAAGATGCTTCTTGAAGATGTATGGGGCCTTCCGAAATATCAGTTTATTAATTAATGTGTTCTCTTTCTGTTTTTATCATATGTAAGCTTTAAATTGGATTCAATAGCAGACTGATCAAAGCATTAATCAGAAGAGGAACTTTTTGGCAAGGACGAAATATACCTAAGGATACACTAAGGCCCTGTTTGTTTATGCTCTCATTTTCCGTTTTCCATTTTTTTTTTTTCCTCCGCAAAATGTGCGATAAGTGTTCACATATGAATTTTTTGTTTTTACTTTCACAAAACACAGAATTTAGAAGAAAAAGAGAGAAAATTCCAATAAAATATTCAATTTTTCTATTTTCTCCTCATCTTCTCTCTCATCTCTCATAAAACAAAAACTTCAGTTTCAAATCAATATTTTAAAAATTGCAAACGGAAATAAAACACACATTTTTGAGACAAGCTCTCCGAGACAAACAAAGTGATAATTTGAATAAGTTTTATCGGTCTTGTAGGTGATAAATTTCGTATTTTTCAATCCCTTCTTTTTGTTTTCAGATAAACATACTGAATGCATTTTTGTTTTTCGTGTTTTCAAATACTATTTTTAGACAAACATGTCAAACACGTTTTCATTTTTCGCATTTTACAATCATTTTCAATATTTTCAAAAAACAGAATTAAAATACAAAATTCATAAAAGAGCACACCCTTAGTATTCCTCAACAGAAATCTTAAAGGTACTCAATGTTTAGGAAGACGAGCAATTGAATGCCATATCAAGTTCACGAGTAGATTTTATCCATTTCACAAATGTTGGTTTAATAACTGGTAAGTCAAAGGTAAATTCTTCCCAGTCATCTAGGGCCATGGGATGGGAAGAATCTTTTAAAGTTAAAACACCCAAACAGGAAATAGAAGGAACTATCACATGTTTGTTTCGCTAAGAAAATTCTGGCAAAGTATACTAGCAATTGGATTAAGTGATGGGTAAAATGTCTATAGTTTAAGTGCATAGGATCCCTAAAAAGGCAACTAAAGTTTAGGATCATTCCTAGTCTCACTGGGACAATGCAATGGTCACACCAATAATGAGTATTTCACATCCATCCCCCACTCCCTCCCAAACCCAATAAAAAAAAAAAAAAAACTGAAGAGAGAGAGAGAAAGATATGTACAGCATTAACAATCACAACTATATTTACCAAAAAAAAATTGTAACAAACAATGAACTTAACTAAAAAATGTTACCTTCCATCATCACGTAGGTGCAATCCCTCCCATATGGAGTTGCAATAAGCATTGCCCAAAGCACCAAACAAGTCCAAGATTGTAGATTCCCAGACCTTGACATCCAGCGTTAAAGATCTAACCTGTCATTGTATTGTGAGGTAAATAATTGAAGGCAATTAGAATCGACTGAATATCATGATATCTAGACATCTACTGGTGCTACCATCAAGTTCACAATTTGGCAAGCAAAAAAGTGCAATATAAACCATAATCTTTTCTTCAAATTGTTGCCATAGTAATTGCATTATTTTTTCATCAATAGTTTAGACACAAGTTTACTTCTTATTTATATGACAAGAAACAGAAATAATTCATTGTAGAAATTGATATGATTTTGTTGGTTTTCCCACCGTTGCTATTGAGCAGTGATGGTTTAAATATTATTTACTGTTTTGTCAGTGATGTGTCTGTTGGATGCATTTTATACTCCAAAAGTAAGAGAAATTGCAGCTGATTAAATAAGTAAGAGAAATTGCAGTTGATTAAATTGGAACTTATGAAGGCTCCAATTATCCTAAGAAAGTAGAGAAATTACAGACAGGTGGTCAAGGGACTGTAGTTGAAGCAACGGAATATTTACATTTAAGAAAGAAAATAGTTCATATAAAACTACCCAAATAACCTTTAACTGTCAATTTAAAGAGTTAGGATAATGGTAGGGGTGCTCAAGGACAACACACACACACATATATAGTGGTGAAAAAAATAAGCACATTTGATAATTAAAAAATTGGACAACAAACGAGAGAATCCGTCACCTAGTACTTCCTGATACATTCTATCATGACTCCAGCTTTAAGTTATAATTTACGGAGTTTGGAAAGTTAAGTAACGAATATTCATATACAAAAGTAACTATTTCAGAGACTTTTTTAACTTGGAGATTTAATCACTCAAACTTTAAAATATGCACACCTTTGAAATATGAACACCAAGATTCCGATGAACACCAGAGCATTCGATGCACAATAATATACCAAGATTAAGGGAAGCCCAATCAGGTTCAGGAGCACTGCACTCTGCACAAATATCATTTCCAGGAATCTGTCTAAGGATCACAGAAACACTCTTGTGCTCATTGGCTTTCATGTCATTCTCTAAACTATGAGGACTGTAGGTTGATATAACATCATAAGCACCACCGGCATAATCATTCTTGTCTAGATGTTTTGTTCTAGGATATGGCTGCAAAAGATACATGCTCTTGTTATCACAAACTTAATAATATCGTGTTAGAGAAGAACTTAATGCTGGGTTATACAAAAACAAGGATTCAACCTGCAGCAGGAAATCAGAGTTCAAAATGGATGCAATAACTCCTGTAATTTTGTTTACCCAGTCCATCCTGTCTGCTTCCTTTTCAGCCTGACAAACAAGGTGGGGACAGTTTAGCATAAACATTCGAAGAATGCCTGAAATTTTTGAAATTTACTAAAGAAAACTACAGTTTTAAAATAGGAAATGAAAAGCAATCAACCTTATGCTCCCAAAATTAATAATTCTATCCAGCCTGGATCGTCTATAGCAAAAATATGAGGACAATAATAGCAACTTGCTATCATTCAAAACATTGGACCAATTATTTACGGGCACCAAGAAAATATGTGATTAGAATCCAATGGTGGGGATTGGAAGAGGTGGGGATTGAAGGTGGTTTTATGGTGGTTTGTGCTATGGAGTTGAATGGGGTTTTATTGAAACGTTTCAACCAACTGTCAAGATATTGTTAAATTTTATCTCTTACCGACCTCAAATACAAGGGCCAAAGCGCGTCCCCTCTTGATTCAAACCCAGGACTTCACCTTTGTAATTGGTACTCTTGATTCCAAGAATGAAGTCCTAGGTTAAAATCATGAGGGACAACTCCGAGCCCCAATATTTAATAGGTGGGTAAGAGATAAATTCACGATATCTTGATAGTAGACTAGAATGTTACATTTATTCTTTGTTTGATTGGAACTGTTGAATGGGTGTATGGTTGTTGATGGTAAGGATTGGATGGGTTGGTAGGGATTGAAGGTGTTTTTATGGTGGTGGGGACTGATGGTCGTGGTGGAGTTTGTGGTGTTGGGTTCAGGTGGTGGGATGTGTTGGGTTCGAGTGGCAGGTTTGGGTGGAGGTAGGGTATAGTCGCTGTGCATGGGAACCCTAGGGCATTGAGGTTATTTTACCCCTTCTCATTAAAACTAACGAAACTGACAAACGGTAAGGGGTTTGCATAATTCCTGGTACCTGAGGGGATTTTAAGTAATAATCCCATTAAAAAGAATGAGAAGCTTTTGGTATCCATTGAAAAAAGAAACTTATCTTCAAAGCAATTGTTTTTTATTCGTAGTAAAAAATAATGAAAATATTTCATATCATATTTGAAAGAAAACAAATTAAAAACGAATTGGAAATGAATAAAAAATAATAATAATAAACCTTTACCTCAAATTGGCTATAGATGTGGATTTCCTACAGAATTAGAATTGGCTATATAATCTGTTTTAATTATATATATATAAGCCAAATCGGAACAGCAAACATGCTGTCAAGTGATTATTGTCTTCAGCTCACTATCTAACCTCTAGTAGTTAGGACAAATGTTATGCAAGTTGATCACAGGCAATGCGCAAAACAAAGACTTATAATTTAGCATCATAATTAAATATCAACACTGAGTAAGATAGATCACCTGCAATGTGTATGTTTTTATTGGAGAAATTATTCTGAAGCAAAGCCGTAGATCTGTATCCTCTGCATCCATCTTTATTGCTGAAGTTCGAAGATCAACAGTACGGCAACCCAGTGTTTCTTCACCAAGTGATGATGTCCTAGTGTGCCTTGAACGGAATCTACTAAATACACCACCATTGTTTTCAACTGAGACAGTATAATAATGGTGAGAACCCTGCAGAGAAAAGGATAAATGTAAAATCAGTAGTTCATCTTGACAATTCTCTCACCATCTAGATATCGGATAAAAACAAAAAGTAAAAAGATCAAGTAGTAATACATAGACATTAGAACAAACACTGCAATATCCCAAAATAGAAACTTTGTATCATATATATTCTTATCTAGGAAATAAGTTTACTTTAAATGATCCTTGGAAGAAGGTGAAGAAAAAAAATTACTCCAGTGAAGCACAAAAAGCCTTGAGGAAAAAAAATTACGACTGTTAAGACAAAAAATAATGAGAAAGAAGGTGAAAATATATTGATGAAGCTATGTTACTAACATAGGATTACTTAGATCCCATTGAAACAATATAGTATACCGTGGCTTTGATACCCTTATTTCTGTAATAATACAAAGTCCCTTGACTATTGAGCACAAAGAACCTTCTTTTCCAATCCCCCCTCAAATTTGAGGAGCGCTTTAAAAGATACCCTTGCTTGATTGTCCGGACCTACATAATAAGAAAATTAGCTGGCTTCTCTAGTAGTAGTCAATGATGTAGAAAGACACTGAACCATTGTAAAATAATGCAATTCTGAAATTCATATTAGTCAGTAGAAAGAGAGAGTGAGAGAAGTTAAATTATTATGTATATTAAAGAAAGTTCATGCCCAGAAACGATGCAGATGACTGAGAAATGTTGTTAATATACCTAGAAAAAAACTACAAAACCAAATTACTTACCTCACCTTTGACACTGGACTGCATTATTGCTTCTATGTTTTTGCAAGAGTTTATACCACCAACATGAATGCCATCAGAACTTGCCGAAGGCTCCATGTGAACAGAAGCTTGCAAGTTGTCTAACTCAGCTTGAGTCCTGAATTCCTGGATCCGTTTTGCCAGGTTATCTTGTTCAATATTAGCTGATTCTTTAGATTGTTGTGCATATGTTAATACCTGTAACACAGAAAGTAGACTAGCTATTAACCAAAAAAACAAATTCCAGAATAAATGTAAGTTTGATTTGCATAAACTTAATGACACCTATGGAGAGAGAACGATTAATCTGTTCTCTAATACAAAACAGAACTTTTCATCGTATCAAAAATATTATAAGAAAATAAGAATCAAGTCCATCCATACAACAAAAAAATAAAAAATGAAAAGAAATTGACCAAATTAACCACATGTTAAAAATTAATTTTGAAATATAACCCATCCCAAAATTTCTTGTATGACCTAGTCACACGTTAACCTCACTAATAAATACTCATCTTCAACAACACCATCCTTTTTTATATGATATGGAAAATTATACTAATTTNAAGCCAAATCGGAACAGCAAACATGCTGTCAAGTGATTATTGTCTTCAGCTCACTATCTAACCTCTAGTAGTTAGGACAAATGTTATGCAAGTTGATCACAGGCAATGCGCAAAACAAAGACTTATAATTTAGCATCATAATTAAATATCAACACTGAGTAAGATAGATCACCTGCAATGTGTATTGTTTTATTGGAGAAATTATTCTGAAGCAAAGTCGTAGATCTGTATCCTCTGCATCCATCTTTATTGCTGAAGTTCGAAGATCAACAGTACGGCAACCCAGTGTTTCTTCACCAAGTGATGATGTCCTAGTGTGCCTTGAACGGAATCTACTAAATACACCACCATTGTTTTCAACTGAGGCAGTATAATAATGGTGAGAACCCTGCAGAGAAAAGGATAAATGTAAAATCAGTAGTTCATCTTGACAATTCTCTCACCATCTAGATATCGGATAAAAACAAAAAGTAAAAAGATCAAGTAGTAATACATAGACATTAGAACAAACACTGCAATATCCCAAAATAGAAACTTTGTATCATATATATTCTTATCTAGGAAATAAGTTTACTTTAAATGATCCTTGGAAGAAGGTGAAGAAAAAAAATTACTCCAGTGAAGCACAAAAAGCCTTGAGGAAAAAAAATTACGACTGTTAAGACAAAAAATAATGAGAAAGAAGGTGAAAATATATTGATGAAGCTATGTTACTAACATAGGATTACTTAGATCCCATTGAAACAATATAGTATACCGTGGCTTTGATACCCTTATTTCTGTAATAATACAAAGTCCCTTGACTATTGAGCACAAAGAACCTTCTTTTCCAATCCCCCCTCAAATTTGAGGAGCGCTTTAAAAGATACCCTTGCTTGATTGTCCGGACCTACATAATAAGAAAATTAGCTGGCTTCTCTAGTAGTAGTCAATGATGTAGAAAGACACTGAACCATTGTAAAATAATGCAATTCTGAAATTCATATTAGTCAGTAGAAAGAGAGAGTGAGAGAAGTTAAATTATTATGTATATTAAAGAAAGTTCATGCCCAGAAACGATGCAGATGACTGAGAAATGTTGTTAATATACCTAGAAAAAAACTACAAAACCAAATTACTTACCTCACCTTTGACACTGGACTGCATTATTGCTTCTATGTTTTTGCAAGAGTTTATACCACCAACATGAATGCCATCAGAACTTGCCGAAGGCTCCATGTGAACAGAAGCTTGCAAGTTGTCTAACTCAGCTTGAGTCCTGAATTCCTGGATCCGTTTTGCCAGGTTATCTTGTTCAATATTAGCTGATTCTTTAGATTGTTGTGCATATGTTAATACCTGTAACACAGAAAGTAGACTAGCTATTAACCAAAAAAACAAATTCCAGAATAAATGTAAGTTTAATTTGCATAAACTTAATGACACCTATGGAGAGAGAACGATTAATCTGTTCTCTAATACAAAACAGAACTTTTCTTCGTATCAAAAATATTATAAGAAAATAAGAATAACGTCCATCCATACAACAAAAAAATAAAAAATAAAAAGAAATTGACCAAATTAACCACATGTTAAAAATTAATTTTGAAATATAACCCATCCCAAAATTTCTTGTATGACCTAGTAACAAGTTAACCTCACTAATAAATACTCATCTTCAACAACACCATCCTTTTTTATATGATATGGAAAATTATACTAACTTAAAGAGAGGAGTACAAAAGGAAATTACATATCCACTATGGTGTCAAATCCCCATTTTGGTAGGGAGGCAAAAGCTGTTCAACAAAATATACTCAAAAAATTTCAATATGCAATACAAAAAGACAGATTAGTTATATGAAGTACATGCAATGCAACCCCCAAAAAAGAACGAATATTAGACATTTCAAATCCTAAGATCATATGCCATGAAAATCCCAGCATTTTCAAATAAATCCAAAAGAATTGAAAATCAGATTGAAGTTCGTCAGCTCACTGGCTGCTAGCACCATTGAGTGCCTTTATGCACTGTCATGCAATTGTTAACCATGACATGTGATTGAATTTTATTAATTGAAAAAGAAGAGATTTTTGTCCTACCACGTAAAAGATGCCTAGATCATGGAATAGATTTTTGAGTTACTTTCAAAAGCGCCTCAAATTAACACCAATTTACTTTGTTGAGAGATTTATGAAAATGAAACGACAGATGAGAAAACGAATTGTATTAATGTGAGAAAAAAATTATACAAAGAATCGATTAGGTAGCCATTGCAAATTCTAACAAAGGTGGATGATAATGAAATAAGTGTCTTGGAACTCTCTTAAAATTGAAGTGCATAGGGATGCACAAACTGCACTATGGTTCATCTACCATATATAAGTTAAGGTCACACCAGACATTTCGATGTTGTCAGGCTTACAGCTGGATAGAGTATACAAAATCAATAATATAATAACAGAAAGAAAGAAAAAGTAACTCATGGTTCTACCTGGTGTATATATGGTTCTATTTTGCTCAACAAGTCGTATCCCTAGATCATTTAAAAAACAAAAAATATAAATCAACAAGTTAAGAGGTCAAATGTATAGAAAATAGGGGGAAAACAAACAAACAAACAAACAAACCAGCTTGAAATATCTGAGATGCGCATCCATAATTGCACTTATAGATTCCAAGAACTCATACTTCTTTTTCGCTTCTATATTCATGAGTGCACTTACCTGCATTCCTTAAAGCCACAGAGAAAATATCATAAGAAAGTAAGGGGACATTAATAATTCAGGAAGAAAGCAAACAAAACTGAAAAACGTAGTATACATACTAAATTGAAGCGGCTTCTCTCAAAAGCTGACTTTGAGTTCTGTAAATCCTATCAATCGTAAGAAAGGAATGAGATCTCCTTTATCATGAACAGAAGTATTGCTTGCTTTCAAAATTGTCATGGAAAAAGAATGAAAAAATAAAAGGATAGAAAAAAATCAACCATTTCATATGAGAAAAAAGAAAGAAAAAACATCAACCATTTCATATGAGAACGGTGCCTAAATGCCACACATGATAGAAAAATAAAATTTCATATTGTTTGCTCAAACACAAGTTTCCTTTCTGTTCTTTTCTTTCTTCTTTCTTTCTTTCTTATTTTTTTTTTAATTTTATTTTTTTCTAATGAAAAGCTAAAGTATATTGATTTAAAAAAAAAAAAAAAAAGTGAATGCACAAAAATGGTGATTTAGAGGTCATCTTTATAAAAAGAATTGTACACCAGCAGCAAGAAAGAACCAGAGAAACAAGACAAACAGTATAGGCCTCTACAGAAACCAATAGCACACAATAAAAAATTAATTAGTTGCTGCCTCGAAATCATGCTGGATGAAAAGCATTGAAGTGTAGCTTCTGACTCACAATGATCAATGATGTTAGATGAGAAGCATTGAATTATCTCAGAAATCATTTGACACTGAAGCACAAAAGAAAGCAAGAGACTCTTTATCCAATAAAAATAAATGGTCAACCCTCTAGCCTTTTCAACAATCCTTCATCCTTCCAGTTAAATAACCCAAATTATCTTTCTGCAAAAAAGTACTGACAACAAAAGAGGATCTCCCATTGATCTGACCCTTTTCTTTTGAAACACCTTGAAAATTATGATTTCATGATGCACTTAATACATTCATGGGTGATGAAAGTAATGCTGCTGTTGTTGCTATTACTGGAAATCAGGGGCGAATGGAATGGTGGAAAACAAAAAATAAGGACTCTTTTTGGCACAGTTACTGTCACAAGCCGAGAAACACCAAAGAAAAATGTTGGCAACTTCCTGGGAAACCTCGAAATGCTTTTGGAAGAGGGAATGGAGACAAAGGAGGAAATATTTGCACTTCCTACGTACCAACAGAGAAGTCAATTGGTTAATATCTTAACCAAGGGACTTGCAACTCACATGTTTCAAATGATTACAAGCAAGCTGGGAATGAAAAACATCTTTTCACCAGTTTGAGGGGGAATGTTGAAAAATCTATTCAGGAAATCTGGCGGATACAGCTGGTAGAATCAGATTATACAGCTTGCCATTGGCAATGAAATCTTGTTATATAATTAGGAGTTTCCTTTTCTTGCATGGTTGAAGACTTTTTGTAATTAATGTGTTGATTTCCTTTTATTTATCCTAGGTTGAAACGAGGGTAGTATCCTTTTCTATTCACTTGAACACTCTATACATTATGTGATATAACATATTTTGAAATAGAATAAAAATCATTTCGGCCATTAATTTTCAAAAAATCATTTCATGTAATTATAAAAATCCTAGCTAAAATTGGTTTAGGGGTGCTTGCTTATCAGAAAGGGAGTGCAAAACATATGAATAAGTTTTCTACTGAATGCAGGTACCTACTTAGGAATATAAAGATACCATCTAAACAGCTTATTAAAAAAAACCTATGGTAAAGGAAATTGAACTATCCCATAGCTAAGAACCTATGCTATTCTGTTTCGTTGCCCTAAGTTTTTAAGCCCCTATTTGTGTCAATTAGTATCGAAAGCTGGTATTTTACAGCAAAATTTAATTAATAGAACAGTAACAATCAATTACACTTAATGCATTAGACATGCAGAATTCAAATGTTGAACCATGAAGACCAATGATCCCAACTCCTGTTTGGATAATGTTTGTCCCAAAACTTAACAAGGAAACAATCATAGCATACACATTAAGCCCACTCAAGCTACAAACACAGTTACATACTGTCAATCAACATTAAAATGATATAATAAAATAGAAGGAAGAACTCAAGCCACAAAAAGAGTAATAATAAACACGCAGCTCCAGCTCAGTAAAACATAATAGAAGTAAACTGCAAAAAATTTTAAAAAACTTACCTCTTCTAGTTCTGCTACAACATCATCTCGTGTACTCTTTTTCAATGACACAAACTTTTCCCGTGCCTAGACATGAATAATGTTGAACAGCAAATAAAAAATGCTCATACAATCAGAAAAAACAAATATGCTCTGATAAAATAATGATATAAGTCCAAAAATCTACAGCACCAAATATATAATTATTTTCATGTAATTACTAGGAATTCAACAATTCAGTGTTCTATCTATATTCACCACCATTTTTTTTTTTTGCACAAGAAGATATCTTCATTAACGTCTAGCACCCTATATTATGGCTCCACAAACTTGCTATGAAATGTGTAATGCACAATAAAGTAATAGGAAGTCGTCAAATTGCTAAAAAATGAAAAATGCAGTCATGGATAGGTACTTTCTTTAATTACTCTTACCTTCACCCAACTATTATAAGAATAGCGGTTAACCCTTCTAATGCATTGTATGTTTAGAATACATCTTCATCTAGCAATGAACACAAGAGCTCGTTACACATATTTTATGACAAAACCTGATGCAATCATTAAAATATTGGGAATGAAATTTAACTAATAAGATAGCCAAACAGTCAAATTAGAAAATATGAATAGGAGTTTTGAAACAAAATTTAACCCTGATTTTTGTAAGACAACAGAAAATGAAATCTTGGACATATGTTAGGGCTGTAAATGCATTATAGGAAGATCAAAAATTTTCCACAATATTGTAGTAGACTAGTGCTTACAAGAAGGGCAATTGTCAACCATGAAATCAGATTTTCAGCAAATTAAATATCAGTATTTTCTCTAGAGTCTTAATTTATAACTGGTTTGATTTTTCCTTGATTTCTCCACACGAAATCTTGGCTCCAATGGTGTCTGGAGTAATTTCAGTTCCTAGTCTTTTGAATCCAGTAGACTATACAATTTTTTTCCCCTCTATATGCATCACAACCATACCAAGAAATAATAAAATACAATAGCAAAAAATAAAATGTCTAGATTTCACTGAAGAAATATAACTTTTAGCATTTTCAGACCTGATCGTAAGCATGTCTAGATTTGTCAAAGCGTCGGCGAGATTCCTGCAAAAGCATATCAGAAAAAGTTATAAGAATTGTCCCAAGAAATAACTGTAATACTACTAAAGAAATCTAAAAGCGTAGGAGTAATCTATCTAATTTCTCACATTAAATCATTCTATAGCAAATCAAAATACAAAGAAAAGTATCATTTAATAAGAGCTCTAGAACTGCACCAAATTAAAAAGAAAAAGCCTGTAAAGTACATGCACTTCTCTTCATAAGGACATATAATAATACCCACGTAGGTAATGTGCCACAACAGCTATTGTGAAACAGAAAACTACCTTTGCATCTTGTAGATCAACGTTCACAAAGTGCATCAGCCGATCAACTAACACATGCTCAACCTACAACAGGTAATTTGCCACAAGTCAATAACAAAGTCAAACAACTAAATTAAATCATTTATAATGGCAAGAGAAGAAGGGCCTTTTTCCTTTGAATGTAATTAGACAATTGCTATATTGGCCATTTATTCTAATTTTAATATTGGCCACTTACATTCATGTAGAGTTTGAGACATAGATTTCAAACATTCATAGATACATCTGAAGTTACTCATTTAATTTTTAATTGGGTGCAATTGGCCTACAAGAATGTTGATTGGGATTTCTTGGACAAAACTTTTAGGAGAAAAATGGATGAGGGCTTCTTAAAAACTATCAATTTCTCTTTCTAAACCATAGACCTAGAAGTGAGACTAAGAGTTCAAGAGGGCTTAGATAAGGTGACCCTCTCTCCCCATTGCTATTCAATTTAGTGGTTGATAATTTTAGCAAACTTGTTGATAGAGCTAAAGATGTTAATTTAGTGGAGGGTTTTGTTTCACTGTCACTTGAAATTAGTTGATCACACTATCTTTTTCCAATCAGGTGACGATGCAAAAGTTTATCAACCTTCTTAAAGCAATACACCTGTTCTTTGCTATTTCTGGTTTGAAACTCAGTTTAAAGACACATGTTCTCCCAAACATAAATTTGCAAGAGACAAAACTCATTATTTTTGCATCTTCTACTGGCTTTGATGGGAGGTTGGCCTGTGAAATATCTTGATTAAATTTTAGAGGAAATAATATAGCATTGATCTTTTGGAATCCAATCTTAGAGAAGGTGGAGAAGAGGCTAGCTGGCAGGAAGAAAGCTTATATGGCAGAAGGAAAGCTTAGATGGAAAGAGGAAAGCTTGCTTGTCTAAAGAAGGGACATGTACTCTTATCCTATCTATTTTGTCTAGCCTTCATACCTTTTCTATGTTCGTATATTAGAAGCCTACTTTTGTTGCTAAAAGGTTAGAAAACGCCATAGAGACTTTCTCTGGTCGGGTTTTTAGAAGGAAAATAAGTTTCCCAATTGAAATATTGTGGATAACTTTTGAGGATCTTCTAGCCATGAATAGTAGTGTCCTCTTTACCAATTAATTGGTCTAATGCCATAGAGTGAACTTCTTATTAATTTAATTTTATGAACCTCGCTTGTGCAAGGGAAAATATGAATTAAGAGTAGGATTTTTTGTGCCTTGAACCTGAGACCGTAAAGATGGCTAAGGAGACTGCCTATAAAATTATAGTTAATGACAAGAAAACTTAAAATAGAGATGCCAGGTAAAGGAAAAAATAGCTACACATGACAAGTAATCACAAATTTTCCATCCCACGAAATGTGTCTTTCTACATGGCACCAAGGATGGTATGTGAGCAAATTATTCCCTTCTTACTTTAATAAAAAGTAATTTTTTGAAATAAATGAAAGATACAGGGTTAGGAGGCTAGATTACTTAGGATGTTTTCCTGTAAAGCATTCTTTAATTGGTTGATTGGTGATAATTCTTGGGCTAAATTTCAGCCTAGAGAGTTTATTTGGAAATCCAAATGTCCTAAAGTTCAACTTTTGTCTTGGTCGGTTGTTCATGCAAAGATTAGTATTCTTGAAGCTACCTAATCTAGGTGGTTTGGGATTTCTTTATGTTCAAATTAGTATGTCATGTGTAAAAAAGAGTCAGAAGGCTTAACCATTTGTTTCTTCATAGTTCTGCAGCTTTAAAGTTATGGTTCCAAAGTTTTAGAAGCTCATGTAGATTAGGTTATTCCAAAGTGATGAAGCTTTGGTCCTGTGGAGATGTATTTTGGAAGCATTCTATGACATTTAGATAGAAAGAAATACAAGAATTTTTTAAGAAGATAGAAATGATGACTAAGATATGCCATGGGAAAGAGTTCATATTCTTGCTTTTCTGTGGGCATCAGTTACAAAGCTATTAAAGGGTTTTTTTTTTTTTGGGTTTCTTTATCCAAAGGGATTGGGCAATTGTAATGTACTAAATTTCTAATAACCTATTTGAGAGTTGTCTTCTAAAGAAATTATTTATTCATTGTTTTTCTTTTAGTTAGTGAATTTTTGGTTCACTTCTTGGAATCTAGGTTTTATTTTTAATAAAAAAACTTATAAACTTATCAAAAGACAATAATGGTAAGTGATGATCATGCCAAGTAGGATGATACATAACTTTTGATTAGAAATTATGGAACTGTTTGTGATGGGCAGCAACATTTGCAGGTAAAATGTGGGCATTCCTAGAAACTTCTTTAATTGATCAATGTTATTATATAAAGTTGTAACCATGTTTCAAAAAGGAAAAAAGAAAAAAGAGAGAGAGAGAGAGAGAGAGAGAGAAAGCACGAAAAGAAACCAATATCAGATCATTCAATGAAATATTAGCAATTAAGAAATTCAACTCGTAATTCTATATTAATGATTTTCTACAAGAACAAAACCAAGCCAGTTTGGATGAGTCATACTTAAAAGGAGCTTAAAGAACGATATGCTTCATAGACTACCCCTTACATGAATAAGAAACCCACACAGATTCCAATTTAAGCACTCACTTGGGAACGAAGAAGCTCTTTATATGTAACAAGCTCGCGAAATGCATTGATAAACTTGGATATAACTGGACCTGGGGAATTGAACCACATAAGAAGCAAATTACTTCATAACATATCCATATGGTGATAATAAACTCAAAAACAAACACAAGGTAGAATCTTCTATCTCTCATCATTATCTTATGTAAAACTCTTTTCAAACATGACCGATGACTTAAAGATGATAGATAACTTGAAATTCGAATGCACCACCATTTCTTTTCTATCTATGTTATGATATAACGTATAAAGAAGATATGTTATAAAAACATATGCAAAAAAACGTACTTGTAAAACAAAAAAGGAAATTCCATCAAAGCAAGAAGATATAGATACCTAAGAGAAGTAATCTTAGGACCAACATCCTAAACCTTGTTTGATAGAAGCTCAACACTATCAAAATGTAGGACCAAAAATAGAATAGAAACAAATTAAATAAAGAGAAGACGAGGAAGAAAAGAAAAAATAGAAACAAATTAAATAAAGACAAGACGAGGGAGGAAAGAACAAAAGTTTGAAGGGGAAGGAATAGAAACAAAGATAAGAGAATAAAATGATTATGAAAGACTAAAGTTTTTGTCTCTCTCAAAATCAAGTTTAACCTTGTCCTAAAAAATACCTAAAGACTTATTTGTAAAGTCCTGCCAAAATAAAAAAAAAATTAAACTCAAATGTAAAAGCAAATCTGACTCCACCAGGAAACCAAATCCTACTGAAACGAGCTCTAAATATCCCTGAAACACTAATGATAAATCTTTTAGTCTTATTCTCAAACAAAAATACCCTAAATCCATTGTTTTTTATCCCTTACTAAACAAATTCACTAAAGTAAATGCAAGGGAAATAACATTGAATCACTCAATGCTCCCTCCAAAACCTACTCTATCAACTATTCATTTTCAGGCTAAACCACCATAAAAGGCATAACATGGCAAATGTCAAAAAATGGATAAATAATGAATCAGGTCTCCCAACCAACCAAACAACAGAGTAAGAGATTGCTTACTGTCTAACCATCTTTAAAGCATTTACTCTTGTAACAGACTCATAAGAGTTTTTTATTTTAATTAGATTCTTAGTCGTAATATGACAAGGATCAAAATGTTCTGATAACAAATACAAGACAACCAATAACCCATCACACCAGCTAGTCCTAAATTTTGGCATATACAATAGAAAATAGAGGAGCACAGATTCAAAGGAACTATTGCCCGTTTCAATTTTTTTATAAGAAACAGAAGCTACAATTCTATTAACTGAAATATTAGTATATCTTAGCTCAAGTGAACCATAGGAACGTTGGAAGGAAAAAAGAAAAAGGTGATATATCTAAATCAAACACAAAAAGCATATTAAAATACATAGTAGGCAATATTAAAAAAAAATCCTTAAAATCGTTTGTAACTAAAGTCCACAATAACTATAACAGGAGCTTTAGATAAAGAAAGTTTGGTTGGAATGGTTTGTCAACTGCTGGGGTTGAATATTAATATAAGATTTCTTGACCTAGTTACAAAAACATGAATATTATATTTCACTATTCACTAATAGAAATTTTAAAATGCTAATATCATCAAGAACCAACGATCAGTTATCACACTTAGTGGAATTTGAAGACATAGAAGACTCAACAAACCTCCCATGGATACACTAACTGGATCATCTTTTCCACCACCAAATGCCTCTAAGGAATCTGCAAAGGTTGTGTCCCCATTACATGCTATTCCAAGAGCTTCCCTATAAAAAAAATAAATAAAAAATTGTACAATTTCATCCTTATGTCGCTAATGTGAATAAAGACATGAAAAAAGCAAATTGAAAAGTCACAGGTTATTCCTTAGACAAAATCTAACAAAAGTTGTATTCATTCTAATATACACATAAGTGATAATTTAATCATGTATGTCCAAGTTGAAGATTGTATAGGCATCATAATACAGGGCTCACTCTCCTACTTAGGATGGTATGAGACTTAGAGATTCATAGAAATAAGTGGTTGGCATATATCAATACGTTCATCAAGTGCTAACTTTATATAATGGTTGTTTTTTCCAAAAGCTTTAACATTGAGATTCTGAAATTTGGAATGAGAACAATACTGAGGGCATTGGGAGTCTTGTCCAAAAAATGATTTTGTGTTTTTAAATTCAAGAACAAAAATAAAAGAAATGAGAAAGATAAATTTGTTTGATAACTTTTCTAAAGTTTCTGAAAAACAAAATAAAAAATCATTTTCTAATTTTTGTAAAGGAAATAGGAAAACACTTAATGAGTTGTTTTCACTATTTTCATAAATTCATTTACAGAAAGCATTTCTGAGTTATTTGATATTTTTATTGTTTAATTAAAAGTAATTATAATTCCACTCATACAAATCTGGAACCTAGCATGAATGAAACAATGAAAAAAGAGAAAAAAAAAAATCCATAAAAAGATACACATAATTTTTTAAAGTAATGCTACACTTACAAAGTTTATATCGAACTTTGTATCTCAAGTCAAGTGGCAGCTAATATGTAATGATTATATCATTCATCATATATCCCATCATAACTATGATATTGGTAAATCAGTTGTCACATCACTTGGGATTCTAAGTAATGCTACTCTTAAAAAGTTTATATCCAAACATTGTATCCCATTAGATGGTAAATGATTTGTCATAGTTATATCACTCACAACAACATCTAAATCATTAATGAGGAGTTCAGTAATTAAATGCCATCACTAGACATAATAAGTTAGAATACCAGAGAACTTCCAAAGTGTGGCATCAAAACAATTTAGTTGTCTTCCAGGAGATCATTCAGCAACCATAACAGTGAAATAGTAAAACATAAAAATTAAAAAAAAAAATAAAAAGGATTTTCACGTACGTAAACTTTTTGCAGCCTTTGTAAAGTGTTTGGCAACGATCTTTCAGCTCATCAGCTGTCTCTTCCAGAGAAAATAACTGCCCATAAACAGAAAACACGTGAATAAGATAAAGCACAATCCCTACCCCTACCTCAACTTTAGTAACACTCATACTATTAAATCAACCAGTTAAAAACATACTTAGTCGATTGACATGATATTACACCAATTACTAACATTAAATAGGAAAGCGAGCTCAAACTGTGTCATTCCTCACAAAAATAATCAAAATTCGATTATATATTCAGTAGATTTTCAATAAGAAGTGAAATAATTCAATCTAATCAGCGCATTTCACCTGCTTTTGAAACATTGGAGAATCCTCAAGCTTGATGAAGGTAGCCATTCTGGACACCAAAAAACAACTCCCTCTCTCAGATCGAGGAAAAGTAACGAAGTGGAGGGTCAGGCAGATCGGAACCGAATCGTGAGTCCTGATGTTGAAGCAAAACCTCGAGACAACAGGAACAAAATCATAAGCAGGGTGGGCTAGTCGACATTGACCTAACTCGCCATCTAATTTCGAATCTCCAGCCTCCAGGACAGGTTGTTGTGGATTTCAAACAGCTGGAAGCGGGTCTGAAGCTTAGCTCTTCTGTCCAGATGCAATTTTGGTTTTTAAAATGAAAAAATAATTTCCACTTCTATATCTGTTTATTGACATAAAAAGGAAAAGAAAAAAGATATAGGCAGAAATAGGGTATATAACCGGTCCTTCCGAAGCGAAGCGGTAGTATTTTATATATATATATATATATATATTTTATATAATATTATATAACAGGATATAATTAATTAAAATTTTAATTTTAATTTTAAATTAATTAATCATATCTTATCACATAATATTATATAAAAATATATATATATATAATATTAGTTAGAGAATAAGTAATCAATAATACTAACGGTTACACCATTTTTTCACTTCATTCTTTTATATCATGACGTGACAGATGATATACAATGTCACCTCACATACCATGTCATATAACTGCCACGTCACTTATCGTTTTAAGAAAAGAAAAAAAAAATTTGCAAACTCCTAAATTTCAAATTTCCCATTTGCACTAAAACCCACATTCCAAATCAATTTCAGTTTATTATAAAGCAGAAACCCTAAAATTCTTCCACACTTTTGTTTCAATTTTTGAAACCCTAGCCACCACAATCTCCAACCTCAGCCGACCACCACAGGCGCACCAGTTTGCCGCCATCTAACTCTATTATCTGGCGATTAAGAGTCACTGGTAGGTTACTGTAACCATAACTCATCTCTCCTGCGCGATCCCAGTGGCATCTCTTGGGTTATCCAAATTCCCTTCATTTTCACAGGTTATTACTTTTTAAAGCTGAAGTTGTTTATCCTTTTGTTTTGCTCTTCGGAAACAGTGATTACACTAAAAATAAGTGTTAATGATTTATTGTGATGAGTGCCAGATTACTGCTATGCATCGGCGAGTTGCATTGTTAATGATTTATATATGTTTATACATCATATGCTCAGTAGAAATTCCAGTTCTGGTACCTGAATGCTACGTGGTCATTTTTTGGGCATTTTATATATTTTAGCATCAAAAGAATGAAATTAGAGCAGTTTCGGAGAAGTGGACAAAATTAAAAGGATTGAAGTTGCATCATTGTTTGAATCCCCTATATTTTGTTCTTTATGCATGGATGCATTTGTTTTTAACATTTTATAGGCAATCTGTTTACTTTGAAATTTTTTCAAAAAAATGTCATACATTTTGTTTAGTTTGAAATTTTATAAAAAAATGTTATACATTTTCTCATGTTGGATGAAGATTCTCCCCTTCGCTGTAGTACTATGCTGCTGGTCAAGCTTTGATGTTTTATTTTTTTTTCCTTTTTGGTAATATTTATTTGTTATAAATCTGCTTCTTTTTCCCTTATTTTCAGCTATTGCATACCTCAATTGCCGATAACTTTTCGAGGAGGATGTGATTTGGTATTGTAGATGAGATGGACTGGATAAAAACGGAATGGTGAACTTCAAGGAATTTCTGTTTGCATTCACTACAGAGCTGCATATATCTGTGTGTATTACATTATCTCTAATTGTTGTGTCGTTACCATGTTTCTCTGACATAACTGCCAATTTAGCAAGGTACAATTGGTTTGGCTACGGATGAATATCTGTTTGGTGTTGTTCTTGGAGGAGTTGTGTAAGTGGCCTCATGATTGTGTTCTTTTTTTTGAGGTGATGTGCATATTACACACAGCTGTGGCTTCATCATCACTGTCAAGGCCTGTTGGTAAGATATTCTTTGGTGATACAATGGGGAATTAAGATGCAATGATGGAATAGTAGTATATACACATTCTTGGAAGGTTTTTGGCCTGAATATCTGACTGGAAATGTTAACAGACTCAGTTTGCATGTTTTTTTTTTACCCTGTATTATCTAATGATTATGGATTCAGTAGCTTGGATGATAATGTGGTTTTTTCCTACACCTGGTTTTATTTGTCGTTGAGAGATTTCCATACATTTGGTTTAGTATTAATGTATTATAGCCTCTCCCTCTATGAATTATGTGCGTTTACTTGATGGGGCGTAAAACTTTAAACTTGTTACAAGCATCATGATTTTGCAGTATGTTTAACAAGATGTACTTACAATTTGGTCTTGCCTTTTTATGTACATGGTAAAGATGTATAGATAACTTGTTTTGTTGATTCATTGTTGGAGCGTCAGTAATCAACATCTTCTTCTTGTTGTATATGTGTGCCATTTTTTGTTTTTGGTTTTTTTGGTTTTGTCGATCTGAAATTTGAGTTGTTAAAGAATACGATGTCATAATTCGTAAATTTGTAGGGTCATTTGCTAGCATTGTTGATAATTTTAGTTGTAGTTCTGTTACTGAAATTGAAATGCACATTAAGTGATTGGTTTTTGTAAACGAAGTTTAGGGTTTACGGTTTGGATGTAGGTTGGTTTCTGTATAAGGCTTGTCAATGTGTTATTTAATTACATATGTTCTGCAGGTTGGACGGGGAACATGTTGTATTGGGTAAGGTCATTCAAGGCATGGACACTGTGTATGCATTATGCAATTGAAGGCAGAGCTGGAACATACAGCGGAAAACCAAGAAGAAAGGTCCCAATTGCTAACTCAGGAGAGAAACCCAAGAGCAAGTGGGATGAGGAAAGATGAGCCTCCTTTGGACAGTTTTAGATAATTGATTCACCTTTTTTTTCTCATTGTATTATGTTCATGAAATTTAATAAAATCTTGACTAAGATCCAACAGTCATAGGTGCCTCTTGGAAATACTTTATTTGGCCTTTTGTATCCAATAACTGTTCTTATTATATGCAATGAGCTTGACTAAGCTTAGTTATTGTGTTTCTTCTCTGGTTGCACTTGTTTTCGGTGGTGATGTTGAGGGGAGTTTGCTGGAAGTTTGGTGGTGTGGCGCTGGGGCTTTTTCTGCAGATTTTTGTTGCTTCAGTGTTGCATTTGTGCTGGAAAATTAAAAAATTCCATGAAAAATGCAGTTTATGCAGTTTTTTTTCCCTTCTCTGTTGTTTCATCAAGATTGGAAAACTGCATGAAAAATGCAGTTCATGTAGTTTAGTGGAACAAAAGATATGATGTTCATCCAATTATGTCATGGACAATTACAAATGGTTAACTTTTTTGTCATTACAATGAAAATGAAAAATACATCCAACAGGGCATTTCCATTAAATAGTAGAAGGAGAATGTTGCATATAAAGAAAATATATTTAATTAAATTATACAGAACTTGTACAGAACATGTGTCTTAACTATGTTTTTGAATGAGTTGGGTTATGAAAACTTGTACACAAGCGACATTACAACATGAAGAGTGTGAAGTGATGAACTGGCTGTTTTAAAAAAATTAATTTTTAAAACCAATTTTATCCAAATTGCAATTGCTCTTGCTTGCATCCTCCTACCAAGTACCGACAGCGACCTCCAATGGTTTCGCATGCTGAATATCTACAACATGGGGAGAAAATAATAATTAATGAACCAATTTAATTATGTTATATGGTTTGCTGGTGGACCTTACCATTCAGGTTAATCATGAAAATAAAATATAAAAGAAATTTGAAAGAGGCAATGAAGGAAAGGGAAAGTCACCTTGTTACTGCAATGGTGCCATGACTAAGTTCTTTAGTTTGTTCTCTTCTGATCAGATTAAACACTCAGAGCCTGCAGCCACGCCCCAAATATCAACCAAAAAATGTGAAAGAAAGACATATTAACACCATTAACAAAGTTCCCAGTTCAAGATAAAAATATCAAGCCAAATATAGAGACGATACCTTGTTCTTAGTGGTTATCCAGCAATAAGTTCCCTTATTATGCAAAGACTTTAGTCTTACTATATTTTGGATGCCTAAGAACACAAAAGAACATTTAACATATAATTAACAGTTAACTAGCACATATTTACAATGACATATGCAACTAAGCACAAACGAAATATCATTAGAAATACTCTCCAAATACTACATTTTTATACAAAGATGGGATTATTTTGGGCACTAAAGTTTGATGAAGCTTAATTTTCATATTCCATACCCAAAACCATTGAATCATAAATTACTTTTCTTCTGATCAGAAAAACATTCAAACTTTCTTATGTTCTAAAAGTTCCCCAGCATCAAAATAAAGTTATGCAAGTAAAACACTACAGAATCAGCTTCAAAATCAAATATATAACAGTTGAAACAATGGCTCCGTTTGGTTCACAATTTTGTGTTTTTGGGAAAAGTTTTTTGAAAAAAGTTAAAAAAAGAGTTGAATTGGGCGGGTATTACGATGTATGATTTACAAATTGATAAAATACCCCCTATGTTTGTTTTTTTACAAAACACCCCTTATAATAAAACATTAAAAGTTAACAAAAACACCCCCAATCCACCCTCAAATACAGACAGCCGGCCACCACCGCCGGAGGGTGGTCGGAGTCGCCGTAACAAAAACATTAAAAATATTTAGGGGTATTTAATTGAATTAACAAATTTCGGGGGTTTAAAAAATGTTGAATAAAGTTGAATAATATTGTGAGTTTTTTGGTATTTTACTGTTTAACTTTTTTGGGAATACTAAAAGTAGTATTCCCAAAATTCAACCAAACGAAGCCAATACTTTTTAAAGTTCCCAAGATAAAAAATACCTTGGCTTCGTTTGGTTGGATTTTGGGAATACTACTTTTAGTATTCCCAAAAAAGTTAAACAGTACAATACCCAAAAACTCATAATATTATTCAACTTTATTCAACTTTTTTTAAACCTCCTAAATTTATTAATTTAATTAAATACCCCTAAATATTTTTAATGTTTTTGTTACAGAGACTCCGACCACCCTCCGACGGTGGTGGTCGGCTGTCCGTATTTGAGGGTG